CCCCCCCCACCCCGCACCTTTTACAAGCATTAACCCCTCATCCTCACAACGTCGCCACGTGGCAGGGGCTGTTACTATCCCCGTTATACACGAGGCTCCGAGAGGTTAAGCGACTTGCCCGAGGTCACACAGCTGGCGCGTGATGCAGCCAGGATGCCAAGCCGGGCAGCCGGGCTCTAGTGTGTACTTGACTCCCACGGTATAATGAGTCAGTGCACAGAGAAAACACTAAAAAGCTACTCATTATAAAGATGAAGGTCACTTTAATGAGCGCACCTCCCTCCGCAAATCAGGCCGAGCCTACTCAGAGAGCGCCCTGCCTGGTGTCCCTGGCGTGGCAGCCGGCCAAGGGCCACTGGGCGCACAGGCTTTGTGACGCCTGCGGGCATCCGGCCGCCGGGGCAGACTCCGAGGCTTTCCCCGCACAGTCGTTGCCCATCAAGCAGACAGACCCCGGGCCGGAGGCCGAGACTGGCAGTCAGACTGAGTTTGCTGGCCGGGTGCCTGATGCTCCCTGTTGGTGTTTCGGAAGCACCGCTCTGGCTTTAAAGGTGAGGCATGCACACAACTGCCCCCAGAGCTCCCTGTCAGGCAGAGGGGGCTGCCCACTGCGTGGTGAGTACTCACACTAAACTCATAAGCAGCTACAGAAATGCCCACCGCAGCGCCCGACCCTGCCAGGCCCACGAAATGTCCACTTCCTATGTTGCTGGCAAACAAGGACGCACCCACCTGTGGGGAGACGGACAGGTTATACGTTGGAGACAAGTTCTGGGCACCTCCCCGCCCCCCTTCACTCCCTGCTCTAGGACAGAGGAGAAGAGAGAAGGCAGGGCTACCCCCAGCGTAACTGGCACCTTCTCTTCAAATTAGAAAAGACTCCTTTCCCCAGACTCTTATTTCCACTTTTCGTAAATCAGCATAATAAGCATGCAAACCTACGCTGCCTACAGTGCGAATTGTGCCTCCTACGGCTGTGCAGTACACGCTCGCGGCCTCCCTGGGCGCACGCGGCCTCCCTGG